CCATCTGGAGCTATAAACACATTTAGTGAATTACATAATAAGACCAATATCCAACAAAATCCTTCCATGCCTGCCCAGGGAACTCCATCATCCAATAAACCAACTCATCCTTAATCCTAAGGCTGTCATATTCTGGTGGTCCCAGCTTTTTTCCCAGATGCATGAGAAAGTCCATGTTTGAATTGCTTTTATTTCTCCTTTTCCTTGATAATCAAGGACCTATAGATTTTACCTTGAAAAATACCTAGCATAGTCCAGTCAAAGAACAAAAATAAGTCATGTTTTGGGGGTCAGAAAACAAGAAGGAAGAAGGAGACACCCCAGAGAAATTTGCCTATGCCTATTTCTAGAAACAGTTTCAGATCTCTGACCTCCAACATTCATAGAAATACCTCACTCTGGATGTGCTCCCTACATCTTCCTCTGCACAGGTGGAGAATGAGGTTTCTCTAGCAGTTACTGAGCATCCAGATCCCAGAGGTGGCATAAGACAGACCATGTCTTCTCACACTCTGACCAAGCATGAAAATGGATGCCAAGAGGAGTGAGCCTTTTAGCAACACCTACTTTTCTACAGAAGTTCTCACAGATACAAGGCAGGAAGTTTGGTCCATTTTAGGATAGAGTTCTTCTTCACCTGTATATTCCTGAAGGCAAAAACCCAAACCAACTGGAAGTGAAAGATTTATTTTATTTTTTTTTTACATTAGTTGATTTGCCTTTGCAAAGAAAAGTGTATGATGATAGCACTGGTCTCCAGTTTATCTCCCAGAATCTGGGTGAGCTGATAGAAAGATAACAGGGTAACTTCAGAGTTCCCTCAAAACCTGAGTTAATAAAGACAGGGTCAATTCCAAATGTCACCATCTCCTCATGCAACAAGCACTACTGCAGTGCTAAGATAAAAACGCTCCCAGCTCAAAGGTTTTGCAAGTTGATATTATCACTATCAGAAAAAAAAATCACTTTAGAGCTTAGCAAGTAATGAAACACCTTTCAAAAGCAACTTAAGAAGAGGGGAGGCAATAGCAGGGAAAACAACCTTGTTCTCAGGAAAGAGGCTGTTCTCAATAAATAAAACAAACGGCACAACAAACCCTATCGCACAGAGACTGACCTTTAAGTGAGTCTAACCTTAGTTCAGTGTAAAGGAAATTAAAGTCTGTGGTACTGATGCAGGCATAGTCAAGTGCATCTTGTGCTGGCAGCAAGAATTCCTATTGCTTCTTTTCTTCTGACCTTTTGCATCTAGTAGGAGAAGAGAAGAAGGAGAAGGGAGACCATCTGGATTTGCTGTACAAGATGTCTGTTAACATACATCATGACCCAGCTGGTAAATAAAGAAACCTTGTGACAGTTGTGGTAAGCAAAACCCTGTCCTGCTGATATGATTTCACCAGGTGAGGTAGTAGCTCTGCACATACTCCTCATTCTCAATAATCTGCTCATTGTCTCCAGGGGAAATTAGATTTAACATTTATTTGCCCTTTGGTCACCAGAGGAGCAGACTGACTGCAGACTGTCCTTTTCCCCAAGCCATTAGGAAAGTTGCCTTTTAAAGCTTTTTTTTTCTCTAAGAAACTTTCATCTCTTTGGTGCTATTAGAAAAGTTGCCTTTTTAAGCTTTTTTTTCCTCTAAGAAACTTTCATCTCTTTGGTGTTTGTCCAAAGAGCTGTCTGTCCAACATGGGAGGGGAAGTTGGCTCTGGCAGAACACTCCTCCTTCCCACCAGTTCACTGCCTACAGCAATTCACTCTCTTCCTTGAACTATGTGCCCTAGACATCTCTTGGTCCAACGCAAATTCCACACTTGAGTCTGTGTAAAACACTACCACAGCCAACCTGTTCACTATAGATCCTTTCCATTAATAATTCCATAATCCTATGAGAAATAGTAGTTATCAAGAGGAAGAAGAATTTCTCTCCATCTCATCATCACAGGAGTCTTCTTTGTGGAATGTTTCTGTAAGCTTAGACACATCTCCATGGCTTAATTTTCACATTTTCAGTACTCTTTGCAGCATTTCACAAAGGGAACTAATTCCCAGTTTTAAGCAAGTGCTGTGTTAGAAGCTGTGCAAGGAAGCCCAGAATTGATTATTGTCTGTCCTGTTGCACTCTGTAAGCTTAAGTAGCTAGAGTAAAGCAAGTTGCCATTTCTTCAACCTACAGAAATAGCTGACTCTTTGGAAGTCAGTCATTTTCCTCCTTCCTGCCCTGGGCTGGCTTTGGAAACCTGAATGTTCCCAAAGACTTTTCCCTGCAAAACTTCATCTAGCCAGACAAGGTAATGAAAGCAAACAACCTAAGTACAGTTAGTTCTTGTCTCTGAAGGAGAAAGCAGTGACCATGGAGGATCCTGCCAGAAGCTTCATAACCCAGCAACCCTAGCCAGCATTCAGTACTGAATGCAAAGTATTAACACTGTGGGGCCTCAGTGTTCATCACATATTTCCCCCAAACCTACCTATCATTATAGATTTTCTGAATTTAAAAACGAAATGCATTAGACAACACCAGCAATAATTACATTTATGATAATGCCCTAACTCATTTTATTGCTCTGAAAGTCAAATATATTTATTAAATCTGCATAAATTACAATACCATTAAACTCTAATTTATGTGATACTGTGTAAATGAGAGACTGGTTAGGCCCTTATACTAGTGTGTCCTACCAGATAGGATGCAATTTATTTTAGTACAGTGACTGTACTTAAGTTATGTTATTATGAAATAAACTAAAAGTTTCAAAATATAACAAGCCATTAATTGAGTATCACCAACACTATAAATTTAGGCTTCTGTAAAGCTCAACATGTACTTGCAGCTGAGAAAGATAACCATATCCTGGGCTGCATCCTCAGCAGTTTGGTCAACAGGATGAGGGAGGTGATTCTCACCCTTTACTCCTCTCTCATGAGACCCCACCTAGGGCAGTGCACCCTGCTCTGGGGTGTCCAAGGAGGACATAGAGCTGCTGGAGCAAGTCCAGAGGAGGCCACAGAGATGCTCTGAAGGCTGGAGAACCTCTGCTATGGAGACAGGCTGGGAGAGCTGGAGCTCTTCAGTCTGAAGAGAAGGCTCTGGGGAGACCTTAAAGCCCTTTCCAGTGCCTAAAGGGGCTCCGAGAGAGCTGGAGAGAGACTTTGGACAAGGGCTTTAAGCTGAAGGGAGGTAGATTTAGATTATATATGAAGAAAAAACTGTTCCCTGTGAGAGTGCTGAGGCACTGGCACAGATTGCCCAGAGAAGCTGTGGCTGCTCCATCCCTGGAAGTGTTCAAGGCCAAGCTGGATTGGGCTTGGAGCAATCTGGTCTGGTGGAAGATGTCTCTGCCCATGGCAGGGGGTGGAACTGGATGGTATTTAAGATCAATTCCAACTCAGGCCATTCTGTGATTCTGTGATGAGGCAGCTTTATCTCTTGCTGCTTAAATAAAGTTAATTTTTCTTAGGACGACAGTTTTAATCTCATTCAACTGAAAATTTTGTTCAACAGTATTTAATAAAGCCACTACTACCAAGAGACACATATACTACTTACAAATGATACCATTTATAGGAGTAAGTTATATGGCACATTTTTCAAAGTCAGTGATTGGTGACAGCCTTGTTTACTGCTCATTAATAAAAAATAAAGGTATCACTCCTGCTGGATACAACTAAGGTTTCTTGCTTACTTTTCCTTCCAATTACTGTAATTGACCTATAACTCACTGGATTTCTGGGCATTTATTCTGAACTTTGCAGAATGCAGCAACAATCCTTCAGCATGGCAAGTAAATATGTCAGGATTAACACTCTGCTAAATATTCAAAGAGAAATTACACTAGTGTTGTAAGCTGGGGGTTTATGAGAGGGTTTATGCAATTTGTGGATTCTGATCAGATCCAGGACGATATAAAGGGCAAGGAAGGGTCTATCACAAATCTGCATTTATCTCTCTGCTAAGCTGCAAATAAAAATCCTACCAAATCTAAAAGTCTGGTTTGAGAAAGAATTACCTGAGAGTCTGCTGTATTTCTATAGGCTCTTCTCATTCAATGGCAAGCAAAATATCAGTAACTGAAAGTACCTTCACTTGGTAGCAGGGAGACACAACCACAGGGTAATGAGATTGTTAGTTAAATCATGCAGGGATGCTTTCCCATCCCTGCTTTCTGCAAAGTTTAACCTCATAGGGGAACTGAAACATCAATTCCTGGCTTCTAGAAATTGCCAGGGTTTTTGTGATCACTATACATAATCAGCAGAGACAAGTGACTGGAGACAAGACTCTGCTTTGAAAACCCAAACTCACTTTAAGCACAGGGAGGAAAAATACTCTCAGTACTGGAACTTTCATGGTTCACTACACAGCTGTCGGGCAACAGGCTCCAAAACTCACCAGACAGTACTTGTATGACACTTATGGATTACAAATCTCTTCCCAAACTGTCCTAGCAAACATCTACATTGCACCCTGCAAACCCCTGGCAATTTAGTAGCTGCCTCAAATTGTTTTTCAAAGCAGATTTCTCCTTTTGCATAGAGATGGAATAAACACAAACTCTTCTAATTCAGTAATCAGGACAGATAATTACATCCTCTTAATTGTTTTCTTTTTCCAGCTTGGGTTCATGTTGACGGGAGATGGTAAAATTAGTCCACGAGCCATCTGAAGTTTGCTGCTTGCTGATTAAAGCCTTAATTGATTCAGAATGTTTTACAAATCAATCTCTGAATTACTTCAGGATCATGGTGGCATATTGTAAAAAGGAATTCACACACACACTTCCCTTGTGCATGAGAATCACATTCCCATAAATCCTTAACTGCATAAACAACTTGGTTATGTTGTTTCAAAATTCACTGTTTGATAAAATCAGAGGAAAATAGCAAAATGAGAATTACTTACAATATAACTTGCTGTGACTTACAGAGCATTCTCATTCCTTCTTAAGCTTACTTTGCAATTTTTGAATGGATTGCATTTGATACATTCTTGAGAAGAAAAAAAAAAAAAATAGAACTGTTCCCATCTTCTGCAAAGCTCATAAAGCTGTGATCTACAACCCAAAGGAAGCAATGCATTCCAAGCCAGATGTGTTTTTCTTATTCAGTGCACTCCTTCCCTCAATCAGGATCTGCACTTTTCATTGAGATTTGATATTACCTATCACACGGGTTTGGTGAGCTTTGCACGTTTCCAGAGACTGTTAGGCAGAATTTCCTTCTAAAACACAGATTTTTAAAGTTCCCTTGGTGATCAAGGATGAAAAGTAGAGAAATCTCACATTGTTCTTAAGGGCTTATCAAAAGGAAGAAGTCTGGGTAGAAAGGCAAGTCCCCTCCCTGCCAGTGCTGAATTTGCAGAGGTCAGAGCATAAGACAACTTTGATGCCTCTTCCTTTGGAAGTGACTGTTCCATTCAGCTCACCTTTGCCTCACTCAAACCACAGGCCACTATAGTTAAGGACATGGAGATCAGCTAAAACACAGCACTATGCCCTAAAACAAACAAAAAAGGCTGTCTCCTGCCATGTATTTCAAGAGCTGACAGGTTTCTTATCCTTTATAACATACACCCTATCAAAAACTGTGTTTTCCCCCTTGGTTTTTTAAGTGCTGTGTCTGACAAATATAATAGGATGCTCAAGTGAGTTGAATTGCAGAGGGATTTGATACAGGCCAATGTTTTTCCAGTGAGCATTTCTTCTGGAGCCAGGAGGGTGGCCAGACAGACAGGATTGGTGTTTGCTGTTTGCACTCATTCACAAAACTTCCTACCCATCACACAGCTGCACCACAGAGGTTAGACTTACTCTGGCAAACTCTTACTAAAACATACAACTGGCAAACTTTCACACCAAATATTAGTTAGGTAAATCATATTCTCTTCTGATAAATATAAAACTACCACTCAGTTAAGGATTTTTGACAAATGTATCATCTTCAGCATGAACACATAAATGAGGATTGTACTCCCTGTTCCACTGGTGCACTGTGCTATGGAACACGTGTAAATAGGGTATTAAGATACCAGCAAGTTTTCAAGGTTGTTTGTGACATTGTGAAGGGAAACTGAAATGAAGTACCTGAGTGACACAACCCTAAAATGGGATAATTGACTCGTTAAAACCCAGTCTTTTACAAATTGCAGTAATGTCTTGTCAGTTGACTTCATAAATCTCTGCTTTAAAACACACAGAAAATAACTTTACTGCTTTATAAGTAGCAAAATACAGTTCTGCAAGGATGTTGCCTTAGAGAACCAATGTGTGCAAAGGCTGTGGAAAACAGCTTGGTCATTATTCACAGTAAACTCGTAACTTGTATGTTTTAAGTTTCACAACACGGAAATATTTTGACAAAACTAAAAACACCTCTTCTTGTATGTGCAGGAAAAGAATGAACCAAGAAAAACACCATCTACCTGCATCTGCTAGCCATAAACTCGAGATAAACAGTGTTATTTCATCCCTCTCACAGACGCTACAGAGTCTCATCATGCCACACTAATTAGAGGTCTGTCACTTCTTCCATTACAAACACCCTTTGAAAGCATTTGTAACCACCTTGGAAAAAAAAGATTTATCTGGGAATTTTAAAAATCACACTGCTTTTTGCATCTTTAAATCATCAAAAAAGCTCTCCTCGAGTAGCCCAGCTGACTGCATCGACACCGTTACGAGCTACAAGAAAAATGCACAACCATCCCAGACTTGTTTCCTCAATCAAGTCAGGAACTCAGTCACTACCAAGTCCTAAAATATCTGCCAGATTCCACATTTCTTCCCATTAGCCTCTGAGGTGCAAATAACCTCTTCTTCAGTGAACACACCAGATCTGTCAGCCACAATCTAGTCACAATCTTCCTCTCCTCACCACCTCTAATGCACATCTTTGTGTTTGCTGATGCCATGGCCCTCAGCACTGCTTTGGAAACACTCCCAGGCCCTCCAAGTTACAACACACCACATCAATCACACACCAAAAAGTGATCAATAGCCTTCCCAAAAAGCAAGTGGCAACCGATAATCCAAACTCTATTAAGAGGCTTTCAATATTTAGCAACCTGACCCATTGACTGGGCTTGTGTTTTGTACAAGATACTTCTTGAAGAGTTAAAATTTACATGTCATTTTGAGGGTGGAAAAACATGATCATGTCATATTCTAATTCATTGCTTCTTTTAGGAGGAAAAAATCCTCCTCTTTTTTAATGTCCCATAATTTCTGGGGTATTGGCTATTTGCATTGTTTTTCCACAGTTAAAGGAAGGTGTTCAGCATCTGGTTAGAGAACTTCCCACTTAAAAACACACCTGCTACATTGTCTTGTGCTGAACCAACAAGCTGAGTATTTTTTAGAAAAGTTTTTAAAAACACTTGCATGGCACAAATGGTTTTGTCACAGAGACCACTGACCACTTCCTAAGCCAATATGGTTAGAAATTAGTGTTACTGTAGTGGAATGAGTAGAATTCTCTATCAAATTTACCAAGGGAATATCCGTAAATGAAAGAATATTCATTTAGATGAAGAATCAATATGCAACAAAGCCACTAGCATTACAATGACCACGAAATTCAGGTAAGCAAAATTACTGTCTGATGGGGAAAGAGCTCCTCAAATGATGAGACAAATGATTCCTGTTGCACCAAAGATAATAAACAATAATTGCAAAGCACATTTATATAAATCTTCACAATAAATCTCATGGTGTTTTACAGTTTAAGAGCAGATTAGATAGGTCAGCATGATGTTTGAGATCAATACTAGAACAATACGCTGAAGCATAAGCAA